TCTTTTACACCAAGTACATAAGAACTGAACTGTAAGATACAAGGCTGGTGTTAAATCTAATATTGATGGTAATCATACACAGGAGAAATTACTAATATGTTGCTACACTGAGTAAATTTATACCAGGCAAGTAAGAATGCAGCCCACAACCCCTGGTTTACAAGACCAATGCATTCCAGACTGAGCTACACAGTTTGAATGTGCAATATTTTATTATTTTGGAGCTTAATTAGTCTCGCTCCTTCACTAAGATGGTAAACCTAACAATGCCGATGGTAATTGATAACAGGTGAAATCATTAATTAAGATGGTGCTTGCTGAGTAAATCTACATGAGATTGGTGTGTTGCAATTTTGGGTCATGAACTGTAACTTCTGGCAAGTTAGTCTGCTCCACCATCAATTGCTTGATACAGATGTGAACAAATATCGTACTCATTACTGTTACCAGCAATCAAAGTTTAATATCAAAGTTACAAATTATAAACCAGTTCTGGTGAAAATGGATTCTACTCGCGCAGTTTACTTAGTTTAGTCCAAAAACGTTTTTGTTAATTAAGAAAAGAAGCCCAATACAAAGACATCACATCCCCTTTCACTGATCAGGTATATAATTTAGTACGAATAGTAGTACGAATTATAAGGATATTCACAGTATAATATGCGCCTAAAATTAAAAAAATTCAACCTACTGCGTTCTAAAAACAAGACATGACGCATTTTTCTTCAGTTTAAGTGGAATAGTAGTTGCAATAGTTTCAAACTACACTCAGAAAAACAACATATAAATGCGTTATATCCATCGGTGCCAAAACAGCACATACAGTTTGCTGCGTTTAAAATGACAATTTTAGCATCATTCAATAAGCTTTTATTATAATAAAATGAATAATCTACCTTTCTTTTGTACGTCCTGAAAATTTCAATGACATCCACCATAAAATAACGACGATATACCCATTTAAAGTTATGAAATACAAGTTTCGCCATATTAGTTTATAATGTTTTGGACCAGAGTTGGTTGCTTTCAACATGGCGGCCAGGATCCGGAAGTAACATGTGCCGGCACAAAAACTTCAAAGGTTCCGACTCGAGTGAACCTTCTGCCCTTCTCTATTTTGTGGCCAGGGGGTCATAATCTTTGCTAGTTGAGACAGAGCGTTCCGTTTTGTAGAGATAGTTTCATCTTTGTGCAAACCAACTTTGAAGGTGTCTTTATCCTTGTCCCACGCTAGTCCCAAAAGCTTTGTCCCCGGTCGGCTCACTCCTAATTGCTGCTTGGCATAGGTTAACTCATCATCTGCTGGTGGATTACTGCTGGCTTCGAGTTCTCTTGCATTCAAGTGCCATTTGTGAAGCGTAAGGATGCGTCCTGGAAAACTTCAATGGCGGTGGCTTTCGTTGTTTGCACATCGTCAACTGTTGTACCACCAGCCATGAGGTCGTCCACATACAGGCCATTGTGAATCTCTTTAACAATCTCAGGATACTGGCGTTCCCACAGTTCTAAGTGTTGGTTGAGGACTCCTGCGAGAAGGAAAGGGGATGAGGTTAGCCCGAACAAGGCTCTCGTAAAACGGTATATTTGAGTTTCGGTACTGCCAGGTGTTCTCCAGTGGAACCGTAAGGAATCTCTCTCTTCTTCCTTTATTCTAATTTGCAGAAATGCTTTCTGCAGGTCACCTGTCAACAGGATCGGGTGGAATCATGATCTTATTAGAATGTTCCAAAGTATGTTTTGGAGAGATGGTCCTGGGTTCAAGCAGTCGTTCAGGGAGGGATGCTTCACATTTTCCCGCGTTAATGAACAAACTTCAATGATAGTTTAATTAGTTGTATATTATATATATATATTTTAGTTATATATTATATATAGATTTTAATATTTTAGATAATTTATTGAATTTATGTAAACATATCATAATTCATTGTATTAATGCCAAGATATGTGAATAAACCATTTATTATTATTATTAGACCACCCGCAACTTCGTACTTTCCGCATCTTTCTTAGAAACTCCTTTGTGTGGTATGTAGTATTCCTTGCCCTTGGGTTCTGTAGGTGCTCTTTCAATCACACCGCTCTGAAGCTGCTCCTGAATTATGCTGCCATAGTCTTCATAATTCCCATCTCGCTCGAGCCGTTTGACAAGTTGCTGTAATCTTCTTCGGCTGCCCGCTTTGTTCGTTGGCAATTCTGGGTGGTTGGCCTTCCAAGGCAATTTCGTCTCATACCAACCAGCCTTGTTCCGTTGAAGTTGCTCTTTGAATTCCTGGTATACAGTTCCCTGAACGTTCTCCGGTTTGTCAGCAAGTCCAAGCACATCCAAGGAACACAGCTGCTCATAGTCTGTGCTGACAGATCGAGTTAGCAGAAGTGGGCTTGTCACATCCTCTCTACCAGGCGACATTGACACCCAACCGAGGCGAGTACATTCAGCAATGGGTTGTCCGGGTTTCCCAACTTGTGGCGCTGCTGTTGTCTTGATATTGGCATACTCGTTCACTCCGAGAACTACATGTTTAGGAAGGTGTGGTTTGTCATCAAGGTCATCTATCTTCACTCCCTTTAAATGGTTATACTTGCTCAGCAGCTCTTCATACCGAGGATTATCGATTTCCATTAGGTGTGGCTTATGGACTTCCATTGTAAACTGACCATCAGCTCCCTTGATAGTTGCAGGGTAGATTTCAACTCTGGTTGTTGTTGAGCCCAGCATCATTTCAATCCGTTTTGTTTGGATCTCCTTCGGTTTCTTGTTCAGAGCGTCTATGAGTTTGGCTGAAGCATAGCAGCTCCCCGAGCCAGTGTCGAGTAGCGCTTGTGTCTTTATCCCATCGACTTCGATGACCACAACAGGATAAATAACTTGGTTGTCCCCTGCCCTATGGGCTGACATGAACCCCTCAGGTTTCTTTGGATTTTCACAGATTGAGGTGTGGTGTCTTCTAGCACAGTTGTGACATGTCACGATACTTTCACATTCCGCTGCTCGGTGGGAGGGTCCAGTACAGTGGAAACATAGTTTTTTATTTGCTAGGATTCTCCTGCGTTCTTCTGATGTTTTAACGGTTGGGCAGGTTGTCGATTTATGATCTGCAGCATTGCAATATACACATGTATGCGAAGTCCCCTTCCCTTGACGAGTGTGGTAATTCCGACCCGTTCTGTCTCGTCTGCAATCCTTGTCTTTGGAATTGGCATTCTCAGTGATCGGGTTCCTTCTCGTCCAAAGTCGAAGAGCCTCTGTAAGCTGTATGAAGTCCCATTTCTCCCAGTCAGGGTCAGTACGAACAAGATCACCTCTGATATCTGGCAATTTGTCTACAGTCATCGCTACTGCACCGTCTACTTGAGAAAGTTTATTCATAGTCTGGAGTGATTGCACACTGTATGTTAGTTTCTCACAGAACTTGTGAATCTTCCTCGCATTGGCTGTCAGAACTGGAGGAAGCACGAATATTTCCTTTACGTACGCCTTAACAATCTTGCGTTCTTTTCCGTACCGCTCTTTAAGGATTGCTACTGCTCTGTTATAGCCTTCTGCAGAATATGGCAGGGCTTCTACAGCTTTCCTGACCTTGTCATCTAACAGTTCTCTCAAGTATGAAAATTTGGTAATTGCTGGCAAACTGGATTTGTCGATCGACTCTGTAAATTGTCCCCAAAATCTATTCCAGTCAGTAAATGTCCCGTTAAATTTGGTGATGACTAATTTAGGTAATTTCGCTTGAATATTTGTCGCTTCGCTATGAGATTTGGGAGAACTGTTTTGATTTCCCTCGTGTTCTGCCTTGAATTTAGCTTTGGTCTCTTGTAATTTGACTTCAAATTTAATCTGCTCTTCTCTCTCGTACGTTTCGCGTTCTGTCTTTCGACTATTGAGCCACTCTTGCAAGATTTCCACACTTTGATCTCCCTTTGCAATTTGTGTTACTATATTTGCATTCCACACATCTAAATCCTCGTCCTTTACTTGCTCTGTTATTTTGAGCGCTTCGATTTCTATATGCAGTTGATCTACTTCATTTATCACAGTTCTCAGAGTTTTTTTATGTCTTTCTATCGCTTCGGCTTGACCATTATCCACAATAGACTTTCTTCTATTCGTTGTTATGTTTAATTGAATGAGTTTTGTCTTTAATTTCCCTTCAGCAACCTCCATTGTCGACAATATTCGCATGGCAAAGCTTTAATCTTGAACTAGAATTAATCACAATATTCGTTGTTTTTGTATGCTCATCAAGCTGTAAAATCGCGTCGAAGGTGCCAAGTGTTGGGGATTCCCGCCTCCAAGGATATGTATCCCACAACAAGTCGCAATGAAAGGTTTAAAACAATATATTTTCGCTTAAAAATCACAATGTTGTTGTATATTTCACAATTTTCCCGAATACTTAGAAAACATGCTTAGCTTGCACTTCCGGTAGCGTGGTCAGTGACGTCAGCTACCGGCAATAAAGTCCACCAGGCATATCAATCCCATTTCCGGACATGCCTATAATAATGATTTAATCCATGATTTACCGTAATTAAGTTAAAATAAACAAGTTAAAATAAATCACTACCAGTATCTTACAACAATTCAAAACCATGGCAAGTGTTCTTTGAAGAATTAAAGTCATAATAAGCTTATTAAAGGTGATCTACAGTCAGATCTGCGCATGTGCACAAATGAGCCCACGTTTTATGATACAAACAGTTTAACTATGTTTTGAGTTCTTGAAAAGCCTGATTGTTGTTTCTTGATCATTTATTATACTCTAGAAGCTTGAAAATATAAATAGTTGTACTTGTTAATAAATACACTTGATGATTTCGGTTTAATATTTCGTTTTTGTGAGTCTGGTGAAGGTAATTTACCGTGCTCTTCTTTACTTATCCCAAAGTGAACTCTTTTTGTATCTGCGAAGCAGATATATTGCTGTCGCAAACGTACCGTAATGTTACCGTATGTTAACATATAGCCATTCAGCGGCGAGCTAAACAATTGATGTAAACGAATCGCTGATTGGCTTAAATTGTCTTAAATTATATAATATAACACAATTTAAGCCAATCAGCGATTCGTTTACATCAATTGTTTACATCGTGCCCTCATCTAACCTGCGAACAGGCATACTTTAGCCTCGTCAGGCCTCGTGTATAAATCGTGTTTATATTCTTTCAAAAATATCTTGCGATATTATTCCAAAGTTATTTATCAACATGGAATCTTATCAACATGGAATCTTATCCTCATCTGCATGGTAAGTAGTCAAATACCACATATATATTTAAATACCAAATTTGTGCAAATATATGTCCCACATATTTTATAATACATGAGTTCGGCAAATATTTACTATACTATCTATAGTTAATATTGCCGTATCTTTTACTATCTATAGTTAATATTGGCGTATAGTTTACATGATGGAATGCACTCGTGAATTTTTTTATTAATATATTACACTGTATAAAATATTGGATATTTTCGAGGATATTTTAAGCCATTCATCAACATAGTTCACAAAAACATTTATACAGTATTAAAAACAATCCTTCTGTGACTTGTGTAATATTTTAAACAGTGAAAACATTCTCAGGAGATATTGAATTAAATCCTGGTCCTGTATTTCTGTATATTGACTCCGTAACTCTGTTCAAAACAACAGTCCAACTATAAAGCTGTCATCAAATGTAGTGTTAGAGCAAAGGTTGAAGATGTTATCAGTTAAAATACTTATACATTTTGGTTTTACACATTAGAGTTAATTAAACAAAATTTTTACAAACATTTTCAAATAAAAGAATCCTCACCTTCCCGAGCCTCATTACATTGTAATTTTGCTTTCTAACATAAATATTTTTCTTTAGAGATTAATACAATAATGAAGAATAAATGTACTGGATATTGGCTTGATAATTTTGTCAGAACAACCAACTTGCAAGACAATCTTACCTAAATTCATTAGTATGGAAAATAACTTGACAGCTACAATGAGTAATCATATATTATATGGTGGATTTGATCAATGGCACACAATGTACAAAACTAAACTTGTGATACCTTCTACTCAAACCGATATCTCCCACAACACAATTGTTTTTGTGTGAATGTGCTGTACATGTTAAACCGAACAGTGTGGTATATCATTAACTGTGCACAGAACTGGAATTTAATTATATACTTCACTCATGACCTTCAAAACATTCTCAATTATTCAGTGGTCTTTGACATGTTCACCAAATATTTTGTGTATGTTACTGAACAGTTAACATTGGCAAGTGTAAACAACAAGTGACATAACTTTTGCTTCATATGATTACAATAAAGTTTTGAAAATTTGATGAGTATGGATTGAATTGACAGGTGACAGTTTACTAAATAGCCGGCTGTATAGACACTTTGAATATTGTTTGCATGAAATTTTTATTTCCTGACTGCATAATTATCTGTTACAATCATAATCACATTATAAAGATAGTTAAATTTTCTTGGTGCGGGGGGTAGCACTTGCCCTGCTGCACTCCCCGCTGTGTACAGCCCTGTTTTAAATCTTATCTGCTATTATAATAAGTGATGAAATATTTCAATTGTCCCATGTCATCTTCATTATTCAGTTTCTTTCAAGAAAATACAAAATGTGAATCAAGGTTTTTTCGCAGATACATGTACGCATTGTGTACCTATTTTTAAATGTCTATCTAGTCGCTTAAAAAGGGCACTCGGCAAACTCCACCAGTCATTCTGTGGAGAAGAAAGAAGACATAATCTTACCGTTTTTTCAAGAAATCGTAATGTCGAATAATAGACTAGTCTGCGCACAGACTGTCTCTTCCCCCCCGTGGTGGAAGGATTACAGTCTGCGACCATTTGTCACTAATGCTGTACAGTGACGTAGACGTATAAATAGATATAATATTGTGCACTTCAGCACTTTAATGGCTTTCTAATTTTATTATCCAATCAGGTGCGTTACTTTAAATAAAACTTATATTATGTAAACAAGGTCAATAGACAATAGACAAGGTCAAGCAAAACAATACAACGAAATCGAAATATAAACTCGCAAAAAATATGCCAGTTTTGTAAATTCTACCAAATTTATTCATCCCAAAAGATTAAATGCTCTTTTGTTTGGTAATGTCTTTCCTAACAGCACCCAGAAACTTTATGTAATCGGTAAAACCGGTATACTTGTCTCGAAATTAGCTAAGCAAATTTATGCAAGTATAATTTTGAAACGAACCAATGAAAAACTGCCGATCATATTTCGTCGGTAGCTGTACGGCATTAGCGTCGAATGACAGCAGACTGTAATCCCGCGTGGGAGCGGGATGCAGTCTGCGAGCAGACTAATAATAGACTGGCAGAGACAAAATTAGAAGAAAAATTAGAAGAAAAAGTAGCGGATCTTGAATCCAAAGTAAAATGTGTAATTCCACAATGGTTTTACAATTCCACAGAGGTTTGTGGAATTACACAAACCTCCCTAATCACTAATTTCCCTCATTTCATGATATTAGTTTGTAATATCATGATCAGCGAGGGTGACATAGCGTGTAATTGGTTTTATGTATTGTTAAAAATTGATATGAGAGCAAAAGCACCATGAGTCAGCTTAATATGCAAGCATATATAAATATGGTTAATTAAAAACGGTTTTTAAGTTGGTGTGCATCTCATTGCTTGCATGCTTGCTCATGCTTACAGAACCGGGCGAATTAGGACTTAAACGCCTGCTGTAAACAATAGAACCAGAGCTGATCATGATATTACAGCAGTTATCACCTACTCTGTGCACGTGTGTTTTCTAAGTATGCCAACTTGAAAACTTCAGGCTGAACTTTTCAAGTTTGGTGATTCAGGAAAAATAATTCAATCTTTTTAACATCTGTCATGATCACTCTTTGGTTTTAACTCTGAAACAATGATCAACTGCAGTGTTTGAGCAATTTTTAACCATTTCAAAACCTTTTTCCTGTGATGTGCAGAAACAGTGCGCTGACAGTGACAGATGGATAGATAGATTTATTTAACCACGCTAACCTCGTCAACTAAAGCTGCTCCTTTAATGATTCCAAACACATTCCATATCGATTATTTCACAAACTTCGACTATTCAAACTCTTGTAAAGGAGCAGTGTGTCACCATCTGCATATCATTTTTGTTCTGCACATGACAGGAAAAAGGTTTTGAAATGGTTAGAAAATCGCTCAAACACTGCAGTTGATCATTGTTTCAGAGTTAAAACCAAAGAGTGACCATGACAGATGTTAAAAAGATTTAATTATTTGTCCTGGATCACCAAACTTGAAAAGTTCAGCCTGAAGCATTGAAGTTTGCATGCTTAGAAAACACACACGGCATGGCAGTGTTTAGCAGAGTTGAATTCTTACCTGGATATCCATGTTGTTACAATATCAATGGCATTGAAATAACCATTATGAAAGCAATGATTCTTTGATCCACATGTTACTATAATTGGTATATATCGATCACTCAGAATTCCAGTACAACAATTGTGTGCAGCATTAGATGAAGTTTTGAGATTTTGTACTTCTCAATTTAACATTTTCGTTGGTGATTTTAATATCAATTGGTTGGATGAAGCCAATAGAAGGCCTTTAGATAGATTTTTTATCAATGATCATAACTATATGCAATTGGTGTCTAATATGTCACTACTGACAATCGGACATTAATAGATCATATTTATACAAATCTACCAGAGTCACAAGTTAGTTCACACATTTTAGCAACTTATTTCTCAGATCATAATTAAGCAGTTTGTGCCTTAATTAATTAATTGTTTTCATTAAAGCAATGTCATGATAGAAATATTTTTATGACGGTGGTCGGTTGCTATGCAAAAACCTCCCGAAAGCGCAGGCTTGCATTGTCAGCAGAGTAGCCCTTAATATTCAAATTTCCCACCAAAATATTCAAATATGGCGGCCAGCAATGTCTCTTCAAAGTTATCTATCTAAACTTAGGCGAGGATAACAATGAAATGGAGAGACCAAAGCATTTTTGGAACCTATGAAGTTTAATTTCGAGCCTAGCTGGCTTGACGCGACATGAAAGGCAGAACAGAAACCAAATTTCGGAATTATCCTACATGTCTATAGGTCCTATAGTGTATACGTATATGCAATATACAATCTATTCTTTTTTTTCCTTTTTTTTTATTCGCCCAAATTACATTAATATATATATATATAGAAATAAATCGTAAAATAGAAACTATTTACATAGGGCTAGGAACCTTCTAGAAACCATAAGGCTTTTATTTAAGGTCCCTAGTTACAACTTTAGATTAGATTAAAATATAGTTACCTTTTAATAATAAAGGATACAAGTTCAAACGTTTTCAGAGAAAGTAGTGATATATATATATATATATATATGAAACGAGGAAACTGTTAGATAAAATAAACTATATTGCAACAATTTTAGTTTTAATTTTACTTTGAGTGGAGAGTTCTATTATTATTTTTATCAGGATGAAGAAAATATTTTTTGATTGTCAATTTGAATATTGTAAAATATCTAATTTCTTTATATTGCGAAGGAAGATTATTCCACACATCGATTCCTTTATTAGCAAGTGTGTGTTTTTCATAATTTGTTCTATTACATTTTTTGTGTAGCAATGATGCGTTTCTTGTGTTATAATTATGGATATCTTTGTTACTCAAAAAATAATTAAAAAAAATCTCGGGAAGATTTTGCAAATGAAAATATCGGAACATAAACAAACTTGTCAAATATTCATTTAATTTGTACAAGTTTAGTATTTTCAAATCATTAAAAATTGGTTCAGTGTGGTCAAAATACGATTTGAATGTCATTAATCGGATTATCTTCTTTTGGATGTTCACTAGTTTTTGAATGTGAGATTTATAGGCATTTCCCTAAATTAAATTACCGTAAGTGAGATATGGATAGACTAATGCATAATAGATCAGCTTTAAGGAAGTTAGGTTTGTAAAGTGTCAAATCCTGGAAATAATAGTTGCACATTTGATAATTTTCTTTGCAATCTGATCTGTGTGATCGTGCCATGTTAAAAACTCATCAATAACAATTCCTAAAAATGTGATTTTTTCCACTCGTTTTATACTTTCATTGTTTATTGAAATTTTGTATTCATGTTTAGATTTTTTATTTCTTGATCTAAAAAGAATGAGCTTGGTCTTTGCAGTATTTAAAAATAATCTGTTAACATTCAACCAAGTTGCGATTTTATTCATTTCCATTTGAAGAATTTCATTTAACTTTTCAAGACAAGAATCACTATACAGTATATTTGTGTCATCGGTGAATAATATAATTGAAATCAATTCACTGCAATATTGAATATCGTTTATATATAAAAGAAACAACAAGGGGCCTAATACTGATCCCTGTGGGACACCGGTTGTTATAGTCATTTCTTCTGATTTTACTCCGTTATACTTTACTAACTGTTTTCTATTAGATAGGTAATTTTCGAACCATTTCTTGGCTACTCCGTAATGATCCAATTTTCTTATCAGAATCTTGTGATTAATTGTGTCAAATGCTTTTGACAAATCAAGAAAAATGCCAACAGAAAATTTCCCTTGATCAATCACTTTAGTAATTTTATCAACAAAGTCAATTATAGCATGCTCAGTTGATCTGTTCTGTCTAAAGCCATACTGATGCTTTGATAATATCTTGTTCTTATCAATAAATGCTATTAGTCTTTTGACCATGAATTTTTCTAATAATTTAGAAAAACAAGTTAAAACTGATATTGGTCGATAATTTTCAAACCTATTTTTTTCATTTCCTTTAAAAATTGGTATAATCAATGCAATTTTTAAAATGTCTGGCATAATTCCAGACGAGAATGATAAGCCAAAAATATGTGTTAAAGGCTTAGAAAGTGCTTTGGCAGTTATTTTTATAATTTTAGCATTAATGCCATCACATCCAGAACTTTTGTTCGACTTAGTATTTTCAAGTTCAATTTCAAGTTCATTTTCTGTGATAGCATTAAGGAAAAAACTAGACTGATAACTGCCTTTTAGATATTTCAAAATTATCATTATCATTGCATTTTATTTTTTTGGCCAAGTTAGGATCGATGTTAGTGAAGTAGTCGTTGAATTTGTTCGCTATTTCGTCCGGTTCTATTATAGTATTTGATGAATTGCTTTCCAAAAAAGTTTTTGATAGAGGTTAGTATTTTTGATTGATTTATTGAGTAGTTCATTCAATGTTTTCCATTCAATGTAATAGGTCTTCTTTGATAATTTTATGTGATTTAGTTTATTTTTATATTTTATATATTTTTGTCTGTTCCTATTATCTGGTTTGTTGAGGAAAGATTTATATAGCTTATTTTTATTTCTAACAGATTTTAATATACACCTAGTCATCCAGGGGCTTTTATTTTTATCTATTCTTGTTTTATTTTGTTTTCTTTAATTGGAAACTTTGCATCGTATATATCCATAAACAATTTCATAAACTCAGTAAATGCCTTTTCAGGGTCATTTGTTTCATTTAATACTTCCTCCCAGGAAATATTTTTAATTGCGTCTTCAAACACTTCTATGTTCGATTCACTGTATAGTCGTTGGTAGGTTACTGTAACCTCATTTGACTTTCTGCTTTTACCAAATATATTTGTGTTAAACATATGAACAATAGGTAGATGGTCTGAAATATCACTAAAAACAATACCATTCACACTATCATTACGTTTTTCCAAATTATTTGTGAAAATATTATCAATTAGTGTTACACTGTGACTAGTAATTTGTGTTGCTTTAGTAAATAATGGGAAAAATGATGATGTGAATAGTTGCTCAATAAATTGGCTCGCAAAAGGGAAACAACAAAACGCGGACCCCAGGTCCGTGGGCTACCTTCATGGACCTGGTCCATGGACTACCTTCGTGGACCACAGACCACTCCCGTGGACCACTCGCGTGGACCACTTGCGAGACACCAGATTTTTGGGGTTTGCATTCTTGACTGTGCATGGAAAAATGTGCTTGAGTTCAGTCATTATTATCATTCGCTACAGAAAATGCAAGAAAAGCAGTAATCGTGCTTCGCAAATTAATATTTTGGGGAGAGGACCTTCAGGCATTGAAAGGTCATTGCAACTTACGACTTCTACAGTTCAAGTGATTTTTTAACAGTAAAATTCGAATAATTCAGTAAAATCCTTTGACCACCCCCAAACACCCTCCAGATTCTCCACAGTATTCCTATATTTTTTAACAAACCCTGACTACATTTTTCAGCATTTTTACAGACTTAGTATACACTGTTCATCAACAAAAACTGAATTGATTGTGAAATAAATAATGGAAATGAATAATGAAATAGTTCCCGCCAATCTCGGCTTCCTAAACTCGGGTTAATAGTGCTTGGTCTGTTGTTCGGTAGGCAAAACTTCGCAAGTGGTCCACGAGAGTGGTCCATGGACCAGGTCCACGAAGGTAGTCCATGGACCTGGGGTCCGTGTTTTGTCGTTTCCCCTCACAAAATCACGAGACTCTGATTTGAAAAGATCAACGTTAAAATCGCCCATTAAATAACACAGTTTATTTTCTTTGTCAATCTTTTCTAAGATTGTATTCGTAGTGCTTTCAAATGTGGCAAAATTTCTATTTGGAAGTCTATAAATGACCCCAATAATAAGATTTTTACCATTATTATTTACTATTTCAATAAATTTGGTTTTAATTATATCTTCTATATTTTTGGTTAAATCATTCCGAGTTTTATACTCCAACTGTTTTGAGACATAAAGACCTACACTCCCGCCTCTTCGTTCTGGTCTATTAGAACCGAAATATTCATAATTATTCATTGTAAAACAATCCATGTTATTGTCATTCAACCATGTTTCAGTGAGTCCTATTATCTGAAATGGTATATTCAACACATCAATCAAATTTTTAAAAGAGTCAAATTTGTTCAAAATGCTTCTTATATTTAGATGTAATCAGGGGCGGATCTAGGGGTCGTCAAATCAGTCGCGCGACTGAAGTAAAAATTGCCTACTTAAAAAAAAATTGACTCCAGCTATCTATAGTGGCCAGTAGATCGAGTTACTAAAATTTTGAATCGTACCGGTAGTCCAGTTATACGTTTCATGCTGCGGCAGAGCTTCGGCAAAGTAATGTTACACGCGTAAAAATTGATCAGGTTGTTCGGCGTTGTTCAAAACAGTAGCGAACAATGTTGTGCTGCACCCCGTGAACAATATTGTTAACAAGTTGTTGAACCATCAATGTTGTTGCAACTTGTTAACATGATTGTCAACAAGTTGCAACAACATTGATGGTTCAACAACTTGTTAACAATATTGTTCACGGGGTGCAGCACAACATTGTTCGCTCCTGTTTTGAACAACTTGCATCAACATGATGATTTTTACGCGTGTAGTCAGTCACGAACAGCGGCCTTACGCATGAAAGTTGACGGATTCGGGGGTCAAATCCGGCTGATTGGCTGACACGCTCATTTCCATGGTTACGGCCATTTGCGACGGATCTGTGGGGAGGCCTGACGGATTTGCAGATTCAGGGGCTCTGTATCAGCCTTCTGATTGAACCATTTAAAAAAATTCTGCACTATCATTGGCTTATATTTTCGACGGATTCGCAACGTGAGGTATTCGTCAAGACCGCATTAGTGTTTACCTCTGAGTGTTTACTATTTCGAACGTTTACTATTACGAGCGATTTCTACCAGCGATATCTGGAAACATTTTCGACAATGTTCAGTTTGCGATTGCGGCAAACAATTTGGAATCTCTATACAACGTTTGTATACGGAGCTTGAAAAGAATATCGATGCCTCACGGACGAATTTTGTTGACAAGCTACTGAGCGGCGCCATCAACAACACAAGCAGAAGCCTCGCTAGAAATTTTGGCGCAGAGAGCTACTGCTAGAGAAAGACAAAGCTTGCACTGCAATAAGGTAGATAAATTTATGGTTTTATAGTGATGTATCTTTAGTTCATATTAAAGGTTTATAAACCGGAGTACCAAGCCATCGGTGTTGTTAATGATTGTCTGACATATGATATTTTAATATATTCGCTATGCTGTATTGCTGTATTAGCATAATTCTCGCGTCAAGAAGCTAATTTTGTTAATATTCAATGTCTACATTGTAAGCATTTGTTGATTCTCATGTTAGTGAAATTTTATTTAAAATTTCTTTATATTTATGCATTAATTAATCACACAACATGTACGCGTAACGTGTATACGTGTGTTGTTTATCCATAGCCTTTCGACATGGCTTGAACATAGACCGCATTGGTCTGATGTAACATGGTGATGTGAAATATTTAATTGTAGGTAGTTTGAAAAGCTCTTTGACTGGTAGCCATTCTGATGTTACTAGTTTATTAATAGTATATTTTGTGTTCAATATATAGACCACAGTAAGACTTTATTAATAGTAAGGGTTTAGTTTATTAATATTTGACTTAACATCTTTGACTTAGTTAATAAATATGTGGTTGTTTTTTTGGAGCTCAGGCTACTGGCAATTACTTCTTATGTATAGTTCTGTGTTTTTGGTAACAGAACAGTATATTTCCTTAATGCATTTGCTGCCATATGATTTTAGAAGTTTTACAATGATACACTTATAAGCATATAGTACCAATATGACGACGATTCTTAATCCACAGGCGAACATGTTAAATTGCTGCTGAGTTTTAAAGTATTATCATCAATATATCTTTGTGCATTTGTAGTTGTTCTTACAGTGCCTGTGGATAAGAATCAAATGTTCGTTTGAGTTTATCAATTTAATCTAAATATGTTTTATAATTTGGTTAATTAATTAGGATTTAGGTTAATAGGTGTGTGTGGGGGGGGGGACCAAATCGCATATTATGTACGGAAAATTCTAAAATCCAGTGGCGGACTATCAACATAAAAATTATTTAGCGCCCACTCCCCCCGTCTGGAGTCGACCACGCCCAGTCGAGACCACGCCCAGCGCCGATAACGCCCCGTCCACCAAAAAAATTTTGACAGAGGTACGAAAAATCCTAGATCCGCCCCTGGATGTAATAGCAGAAAATTTTTCATTTTCTATTCGTTTTTTGAATTCCTCCGGTAAGTAATAATCACACGGTATTATGTTTGTATTGAAAGATAAATCAAGTTCAACATTATTGTCGGAAAGCGCAAAATTTTGATTTGTTTCAAAAGGATTAAATCGTAGCTAGCTTAGTCTATCCATATCGCTTTGCCTAAATCGGTTTTCATTATTTATAGCTGTAAATTCGGGGTTAGTGAGGTTTTGGAACGGAAATGGGTTAGTGTTTTCGTTTAAATCATTTTGTGCCATGAGTAATTATCAAGATAAGTAATAAAAGTTACAATATACTTCTGTGAGTTTATACTTAGCGAAAAATAAAAAGCTTGTTTTGAAATATGACTCCTTAGGCTTAGGTTGAACCAGTATAGAGTCGGCCATCAATGATCAGTTTGTCCCGAACCAGCTTCACTTTTTTTTCTCCACTCTTGCTTGCTTGAATATCGGATATAGTTTCTTGCGAATTTTAAGAATTTCTTCAGGAAACTGCTCGCTAATCGCTATATCTGTTCCTTTTAATTTTCTTGCATTCCGGCATGGCCAGAAATTAGAACCGTGGCGCCCACCGTTAATGGTCAGCAATAACTCCCCAAAGTCGTCGCAGGTCAGCAGCACTACCCAAAAATTTAGTTCAAAATGGCGGATTGTATGGCAACGAGGGGTGCAAAGCCTGCCATTTCTTATTTAGCTTTGCACAATCTGAGCAATATATATTCGGAGGAGAAAAAAAAGCAACAGGGAGATAATTGAAAGGAGAAACGGGCGTGAATCGGTATGTATGAATTGTTTAAATTTTATAAAATGGTTTTATCTAGTGTAGTTCACTTCAAATTCAATGCTCAATTTGCTGATTTCAGATTTGGTTTATGTTTTAATATCTAGAGAGAGTATTTAGTTAAATGGTGTGGCTACCCAATGTTGCAGTCGTCCTGGGAACCGGAGGAAAACTTGAATGAGGTTTCGCTAAGGTAAGCAATTTTATTCATATTGATGCTATTATAATAGGTCATAATAAGCCATATGAATTATATGATGGTATGTACTATCAACTGTGTTCCTCTGAATGTGGAGTATTTGAAAAAAAGCACTCACACAAATGCCTAAAAATGTTAAAATTGACATGATTGTTAAAATAATAATCTGCGTTGTATTTTTGACAGGAGCTATGATCATCCACAACCAGAGATGTCAAGGGTCGAAGAGTCATGTTTTGCTCTTCGAACAACCATAATACATGGGTTGAAGTCATCTGGGGTGGATGTTCATTTATATGTACCATTCCACCTTCATGTTTGGAGATACCTAATGCAAGGTAAAGGGGAAGCTATCGAAGGAGGTACTAGCAAATTATATCAAAAGGAAGACTTTGATAGGTTTGTCGATTGGCCCGATCATTGGAGTTATATCATGAATCTCTATGGCACAGGAAGAGCAATCGATTTTCCCATAAAAGTAAGGCCATTCCTGGGGAAATCGTGTGTGAAAGATTTTGTTGTGGGGGATGATGGAGCAATTGTGAAAGCTCCTATATTATATACTGAAAAGTTAAGTATTTATTTTGTAAAAAGACCATTTAATCCTAACAATATATAATATATTTAAAAATAATATTATATCAAAAGGAAGACTTTGATAGGTTTGTCGATTGGCCCGATCATTGGAGTTATATCATGAATCTCTATGGCACAGGAAGAGCAATCTATTTTCCCATAAAAGTAAGGCCATTCCTGGGGAAATCGTGTGTGAAAGATTTTGTTGTGGGGGATGATGGAGCAATTGTGAAAGCTCCTATATTATATACTGAAAAGTTAAGTATTTATTTTGTAAAAAGAGCATTTAATCCTAACAATATATAATATATTTAAAAATAATATCATTAATCATGTATATATCCTAAAAACTGTTCATATTAATATTATATAATATACCACTTTCAAGATAAAATGATATCCCTCATATCAAATGATGGAAAGATATGCATTTCGATTACTCTTACTTACACCTATTACTCTTACATCGAAGCAATTTATTTGCCGAGATCACCGCCACAATAGTAAGTTTTTCATTCTTGTATATTAAGATATGTGGCATGTCAAATTATTTTGAAAGTGGACTATATCCCTCATTAAAAATCTAAACCTCTTTGCGTAGCTGATTTATATGGGTTATTGGGCTGCATAAATATGATCCTTCAACAACTGTCTGAGTCTGTCTACATTCTTAATTCGTGTTTTCACATTCATCTGCTTTAATTTAGCTTTAAGTTCTGCATGATTTAATTGATCAATATTTCATCTGCATCACCTTCCAGTGGGGTCACACTAAGACGTGGTCGTTTTTGTCGTTCCTCCATTATCCCATTTACCCAATAAGTTCTGTCACATTGCCAGTACTTCCTAGGATGTCGCTCAAATTCTTGTAGTTCATCCAGTCTTTTGACAGCCTGGAGCCCATCTTTACAAGAATCATATTTATTGCTTTTTAGGTGGTAGAGCCGTCGAATAACATCATTTGTTTTCTCCACTCCTTGCCCTGTGAAACACTTTAATCCCATAGAGGCTAGAAAGAATGGCACATGGTAGCACATCATGTGTATGTATGGGGTATAATGTTGGCTTTTCCATAGCCTTCTTCAACTCCGTCAAGGGATAAAAATAGTTTCACCCACTGTATTGCCTACATAAACAATACCAACATTACAATAATTGCTAAATATAGTAACTAGTGGAAATATGTATAAGGCAACTGCAATACTAGCTTCCAGGATTACGATTTACTTTTGCCAGTTGATTTTGCCAATAAGTTTTTTCAGTGCTCTTGCTCTTTATTTTAAAATTAATTGATACAGTACTGTACACACACCTTTTCAAAAAAACTATCAACTTGTTCCTGAGATGGGCTCCAATTAGTTAGGATGCCATACACTTCTTGAAAATCCTGGAAAGTATAAATTTCTCATTATTGCTTTCTCAACTTTCTGGAGCTTTCTCATTGGCAAATAAATTTATCTGACATTAGCCAGAGTAAAATAATAAAAGTTGATAAATGTTGTGTTCAGGGGTTATCAGTCAATAAGGTGGGTTCAAATGCAGTGGAATATTAAGAAGGGGTGGATGATTACAGCCAAACCTCTCATTGCCACTTTTCAGGGAAAGATTTTTAATCTCCTGGATAGATCTTCTCAAATCATCAGACCAATAAAAATCTACTGGCTTTGACATGTCCCCTCTACAAAAGAGAATCAGTTTTAATTAATTATTCATATTTCAAACTATTAGATTTTGGGCCATCCCCCAATACTTCACACACCAGTATGACATGGAAAGTATGATAGTAGACATATACATCCAAACCTTGGTTGCTTTTGTTCTCACCAGGTGAGTTATCACTAAATTCCCTTGCTCGCAGCCCGGAGAATTTATCCAGAGACAAGCCAGAGGGACTTCCAAAAGCTTGGCAGGAACATTGGTGATTTAACAATCACCCGGCAAGAACAAAAGAAACCATTATAATATAATTTAGTACTAGTAAGTGATTATTTAGTTTCAATTGGAACATTGGGAATGATAACTGATACCTTTCAAATGATGCAATTTTACAGTATATACAGACATAGCAGCATTCATGCCCAGCAAGGTAAGCAAAAACTAAAAAATAAAAATGATATATTATTCTATAGCATATTGTGTAATAGACTTTCGACAAGTTGATCGATCTCGAGATCTAATCAAACCAAGGAACACTGTAATCCTCTTTTCCACTAAGTAATCCAACTGGATGAACACCTTCGTTCCATAAGATACCACATGTTAATTACTATTTTGTTGTACATTATATATAATATACAACAAACTTGTTAAAAACTTCTTTTGAAACAGCTTTGCCACCTTAAGTTTGGTGGAACCACCGGAAGTCATTTTGCCAGTATTTTACATGTAGTATTACAAAACATTATAAACAAATTAAAACAAAAAATGTAACCAACACTTGGGGTGACAAAGCTATTTCAAAATGACTTTAGAAGGCCCATTTAAGGAACACAACAAATAAATTGGTAAATAATCAACACAACGGGAACACAACATATAAATTGGTGAAAGTTAGGAAACTAGTTTGTTAATTCCCCCAACTTGTTTGCTATACTTTTAGTTACAACAACAACAATATCAAATCCTACCGCTATATATAATAGTGTTAATATATTTGTATTTTTATGAGGATTTAGATAAATGTTAATTTGCTTTGTGCATTAGAGTCAATTAATACTGTTACTACCTCCACTCACCACAGGTCAATGTATTATACAATATTTGATTCCAGGGTGGGGAATTATTTTGCGAGTTTTATATTAGGTAAGTTTGGAATAAATTGCAATTAGCTAATGTTTCTCATATTATTTTTTGGCATTGCCTTGGGGTGGGGAATTCCCAAGTCCCTGGGTGGAAAATTTGCTGTGAACTTTAAACAAATCCCCAAGGTCTTGTCAATGGTAATAGGATTATAGGAACAGTATTAATAGTGCTTACCTTTGGCAGACATGACTTTTTCCCCCTCAGAGAGAAGGGAAAATGACAAGACTACAAAATTTGTGACCCTTGACATTTTAGCCCCATCACCACTAATCTTGACTTTTTGAGTGCTTGGCATTTGCTCACCCAACAGTTGAATCTATATTGTTATAATGAAATAAGACAGAAGTCAGTATTGTATAATTGAGATAGACAAATTGCATTTTTCAGCTTATTCCCCAACATGAGAAATAGTTTTCCCTGTTTGACTCCAACTTGGTCATTTACATTATGCGTACAGATGGTCTATTATAATCTTGTACTTACCCGTTTTGAAATCTGGTGTTTAAGTTCTTCAGTAAAACTCAACTGTGTACCAGGCCATTCCCCAGGTGTTCTTGTGATGGTGTACAGTTTATTCAAGGCATGTTTGCATTGCTTTATCAAATAGCTTCACACTAGTCGTTCTTGGTCAATCATGGAAAACTCATGATATGCAGCATCACTAACACAAAATTTGTCCATAATGTACACAACACTTTTCACTCTATCTTTATCTTCATCTGAAAGGAATTGGTATGCTGACTTTTGTGAACCATTATACTGTCAGTGGCGCCGGCAAGGGGGGGCGAGGGGGGGCAGCCGCCCCCCCAATATTCTCCAGAGTGGGTTTTTGGATTTGTCCAAATCCGATGTCGTAGGGGGGGGGGGGTGCGGTGTGTAAATATTTGGTTGTCAAGTGTACGGTTGCGTGCAATGGCTAATGCGTAACTTGCGGTATCTACTAAACTTAATTAAAGGCTCTGACTAGTTGCCTTTTACTTATACTCAACACAATTAAAATATCACGAGCGAGTGTCATAAGAAGTGTAAAACTTATTCGCCAATGACGTATGAAATATTACGTCGACCATGTGCTTACAGTGCTTGACACGTCAATCAGCATATTGACCTCCATTGAATTTCGTATCCGCACTTAAGATTCACTCACGCTATCTATTAACGCAAGTATACGTTATCATTTCGTTGAATTCGATGTGCAAGATCGTATGCCGAGAAAATACTCGAGATACTAAATACTAATATTTATATTTAATATATAATATATAATTGAAAACTTCAAATCAACCATAAAATATTATTAAAGAATAGATGCTACGAAGCGAAAACTGAATATAATAAGGGGTTTTCAGTATGCTTAATTTAAAATATGTATAGGCGTTAAACTATTAGTGAAAATGTCAACGCGCAAAACAGGAAATTCAAATGCGTTGCCATTACGTTAGATTAAATCTAGGCGAGGCAATAATATGATTATTTATCTAAAAATAAATTTTTATCAATGTTCCAACCCAACATTCATAAGTCCAATACGTGCATTAGGCCATTAGCATATTTTGCGCTTAAACAAAATCGCGTGAGTGGCACTACAGTTTATTCAGTTAATGTTCAGAATGGCCCAGTCACAGTCATTCGATCTTAGCACTTATGACTACGATCCTTCGTCCCCGATACCTTCCAATCGAGATGCGAGAAATTATGTTATATCAAAGGGTCCTTGTCAACCAAAAGATTTTACATTCCCAAGAAATAGCAATGGTAGGAGATTCCTTACAGCTTGGTATGAAAATTTCAAGTGGCTTGAATACTCTAAGAAGACAGACAGAGCATTTTGTTTCTTTTGTCGCACGTTCAATCGCCAGGTGAGATCTTTTATACCAACGGTAACTGGACCGATGTGGACTGTAACAGCTTATATTTTGCACGTCTCCTTTTAAAATTTTCGTAATTTTTATATAAATTATAGTATGATATAACTTTAATATCTTAAATTCATCAGTGCACAGTCAAATCAAATTCCCTTGTTGTAGATGTGCAGTAGGTCCGAGAAGGCGTTCATTACCGACGGATTTTCAAATTGGAAGAAACCGAAAACCTTTACGACGCACCAGAACAGCGATGGTCACAGACTTGCCTCCAAGGGATATTCAATCTGGCTGAAGCAGAAGCCGATCGACCAACAATTAGACGAACATGCTAAAATCCGGGCGAGTGAGAAAGAGATAGAGGTAATGTATGTAATGGCATTTTTTCAATCATAAGCGACATTTTAGCACTTTTATAGATGAAAATGCACGCATACGTATAGTTTGATATATTGCATGATTATTCCAAATTAATGTCCTTTTAAGGTGAAACGAAAACGTACAGTGATCGGGAGAATAATTGATGTTGTAAGGCTGCTTGGAAGACTGAACTTACCATTTAGAGGTCATCGGGAAAATCAAACATCCACGAACAAAGGCGTTTTCATAGAGATAATCGCGCACTTTTCCAAACATGATGCTATCATGGACTTCCATTTAAAGAATGCTAAAGGTTTGTGATTTAATTGGCTATACTGACAATTGTTTAGGCCAAATAACTTTAATTTAATGTTGTACTTTATTCGTGTAGCTGTTTTGTGCATTCCACAGCTCTTTGTGGAACTTTGCCAGAAACTTTGATTTAATTATTTGATTCCTGATTTATAAATATTCTTCATTCAAAAACTCTCTGTTAACTGGTTTACATGTCATGCGGTCATGCTAGGCTAAGTTAAAAGTATTCCGGCCTGCTTACATTACTAAAGAGTTCGTTGTAATATTTCTAAACAGAGCTACAGTGATAGGTCCGGTTAATTTCACCAGGCTGATTGACATAATCTGGTAAATCCAACCATGATCTTTCAGGATCACGGAGTTTGCAATCAATAACATATTATTTTAGTTTGATTTGAATGTTGTTATCTCAACAGATAATACAAAATACACAAGTCATCAAATCCAAAATGAAATGATTGATGTAATTGGGACGGCCATAACGGATGAGATTGTCCGACGGCTGAAGGAAGCTGAGTTTTTCGCTGTCATTGCTGACGAAACCCCAGATACAAGCCACAACGAACAATTTTCCATCACCGTACGCTATGTATATCAAGGAGATGTCGAAGAAAAGTTGTTGGCTCTCAGGATTGTAGATCAGACGACAAGTGAAATGCTCTTTGAAACACTCTGCGCTGTATTGAAATCCCACGACA